GCATTCACAGCATCCCCTGACTATGAGTTTGTGACGGGGCGGACCAGCCCCGCACTGAAGGGCAGGGAGTAGCCCGGGCCCAGCTAGCTGAGAAGGCCCTGCCCCTCCAGGTAGGCTTGCCAGATGGTCCCTCAAAAAATACTGGACACACGGTATTTTGGTCAAGCAAAAAAAAAAAACCCCAACTTGGCAAAAAAAATTTGTCACCAAAAAAAAAAAAGTGCTGGATAATAAATACTGCCTCTCCCAGCCAGTCCTCCCGCCCCTTCTGACGGGGCCAGATGGGCAAGCGCAGCCCTGCCTCCCAGCTGGGGCTCCCAGCACTGATCGCGGCCCCACCTCCCAGCTGGGACTCTGGGCCGTGATCGGTGTTGGGAGCCTGTGATTGCGCAGAAGCCTGGTGGGGGCAAGGGATTCCCAGCCCTTATCCCTCCTCCCCCCGCCAGGTTTCCGTCCGGTGCGCAGCCAGAAAAATCAGAGAATACCGGACATCTCACATGTCCGGTATTCTCTGATTTTTATTTTTTACTGGACAAAGAGTGCAAATACCGGGTTGCCCTGACTTTGTGGCACAGCCAAGGGGGGGACAAGCCCCTCGACAGAGTTCTATAGGTTGATTGTGTGTTCTGTGAAGAAGTATTTCCTTTTGTTTGTTTCAAACCGGCTGCCTATTAATTTCATTGGGTGATCTCTGGTTCCTCTGCTTCGAAAAGGGATAAATAACACTTTTTTAGACACATTCTGCACACCATTCATGATTCTATAGACCTCTGTTGTATCTCCCTAAGTCGTCTCTTTTCCAAGATGAAAAGTCCAATCTTTATTATCTCTTGCCGTATGAAACCTGTTCCCATACCTTTAATCCAGGGGTGTCCAAACTTTTTTCAAAGAGGGCCAGATTTGATGAAGTGAACATGCGTGAGGGCCGACCATTTTGCCTGACATTCTTTGAACCATTAAAATTAAATGCAAATTAACTATTTTATGCAAAGTTTATTGCAAACAGCATACTTTTCATTTCGTCACATGGATGACAAATCTAAACAGGTGTTAAATCACTCTGCCTTTCATATCTGAAGGCCAGATGAAAAAAAATCCAGAAAGCTGAAATATATGTCAGGAACATTGTAAAGTACATTACATATTATTGGTAATAAAGGTTGTCTGTCAACTTTTAAGTTCAAAAAATATGAACAGGAACATAACACCAAGTATACATGTTGTGTCCAAATATATTTATAACTGATTTAGACCAACTGACATTAACTGAGATTTTACAATGTATTCATCTCAATACATATGGATTCGTTGGGGGCCATAAAAGATAGATATTGCCAAATTACCTGTGGCGCCGTATTAAACCGGAACACGGGCCGCAATTGGCCCACGGGCCGGACTTTGGACATGCCTGGGTTAGGGTGTTGTTTGTAGGCAAGGATTGGCCTGTCCCCCAAGGCCTGCGAGAGTGAGAGGTCATTTTTCAGAATAGGTTGTAGATTGTTAATGATGCGCTGGAGGGGTTTAAGTTGGGGGCTGTAGGTGATGACAAGTGGTGTTCTATTGTTGGTTTTCAGTAGTAACAAAATTTAAGTCCATGAAATTCTGATGCTTGCAGATTGATTGCTTGATTAGCATTGCATATGAGTGTATGGAGGCAGGCACAGTGAAGAGATCCAGGTGATTTTGAAAAATATTGGGATTGATTCAGTGACAGATGGGGATTTTTCCTTCCCTCCCCAGCCCCTCTCCAACTCCAAGCTTAAAGTTATTGCCAAAAGCCTCTTACCTTTTTCTGCATCATTTGGGTTGTGCACTTTGTCTGGAGCCTTTATTCAAACTGCAAACTGAGTGTAGGCTGAAACCTAAGTTGCCAACATCCAGGACTTTTAAGTCTCCTGCATTGGCTGCTCCAGATCTGTCTCCTGCTTGGGAGAGTTATGGTGTTGTAGGGGAGTTGCTCTAGCCAGAATCTCTGTGGGCCGCACTCTTTTATAGGCAGATTTTTATTAGTCATAGAAATCTCACTGTGGGAGGATTCTGACTATGACGACCATACCTAGAGATAAGCCTGGAACCTGCTGGGAGACGGACAGATGGCTAGAGCAATGCTGGGCAGTGCAATGTAGAACATTGTTTAAATTTATTCCTATAGCTGTGTGCTGCGGGCTACTAGACTGTAGGTGTGGTGGAAGCTCAGTGGAAGAGAAAACCAGAGAGGAAATTTGAAGGCACTGAAAGAGGAGGGACATGACGAGAAAGAGGTAGGGGAGCCAGGCCATCAGGATAGAAGGAAATTCAAGAGGGCAAATGATAGCTTTTTATAGGGTGGATAGAATAGAAAGTAGGGTGTTTAAGCAAGTGAGCAATCCCAGTAAATTAATACATAAATTATGGCATGGCCTCATTTGAGTACTCGCTCCAGCTTTCCGAAGCTGCAGAGATAGCAGGCATGCTAAATTAACATGACATCTCAGCACATCATGGAGAGCAAACGACAGCAGAATAGATACAGAGCAGAGAGAAACACAGCTATCTGCATTCAAGCACCCCTCTTCCTGTGATCCCTGGCTCCTTCAGCCACAAATCATGAAGAGCTTTGTCATCCCTGAAAGAGTGAGCAGCGTCCAGGTAACCTTGTGTTCTTCTAGAGCATTAAAATTACGAGGTATGACTCCATATGTCAGTGTAAGTGACTTTTGTCATGAGATTCAAGATTGTTTACTGTATATGAGCAGGCAAGGAATTATAGGCTATGAATCAGGAAGGTGTAAATTACAGCAGACCTGGGTCAGTTGTAACTCGCACTGCTGTGTTTTAGGTATATTCTCCAAGAGCAGAGAGCTTTCGGGAAAAGCTGAACTGCCTTTTATTTGGCTTGACCCTTTCATCTGTTCTGGAATAAGTTATCCCCCTGCTGGGGTATATAAGAAAACTTAAATTGAATGCAGTAATTTTGCTAGAATAGAGTTCTCTTGCTCTTTAGATGAGTCGTTTAGGTTATACAGAAATTTGAGTTACATACCATTTAGCATTAGAATAGAGATCCCTGAGATTGCTTTTATGGTACCCTGCAATATCACCAAGCAATTGCTGAAATGTAAGTGTTAAGCAAGGGTAAAAATTATGTATAGCATTATAGAGGTAGGAGTTGTGACCAGAAGAGTTAAGGTGCATAACCATTTCCATTTGAAGCCTGATACCAATCACTTATTATTTTCTGAAACTTTAAACTGTTGAACCGAATTTTTACGGGCTTTGGCTCTATATAAATAGTGAAGTCTTTCGGAGAAATTTTGAGCAGAAGTTAATCAGTCATTTTTTAGTGTGAAATTTGTCTGAGGGTTGAAATGTGAAATTTGCCCAGGAAATAGCCCATACTGAGGAAAAGTTCCTTTGCTTTTCAGTGAAAATGTGGGTGTTGGATTTTTCTCACCATGTGAGAAACCATCTAAAATTGTACTGTGGCAGCATTTTAGCTACTTTACCTATGTTTATAAAGTGTGTAATGGAGAGGATTCATCTACACATGTGAACACTTCAAAGATAATTGTGAAGTGACATATATAGGAAAATATATTGCTATTGCAGCTGTGTAACAACTTGTGGCGTTGAGGGAAGCATTGATGTGAATCTTGTAACGTGTACAGATACTGAACAGGGTTAACCATACGTTTTGTAAGATATATACCAAATTTGGTATGCACCTCTCTACATATACAGGACAGAGGTTTCCAAATAATATATATGATCATGTCATTGAAGATTATAAGCTTGATCATCATAACTTATATTGCCATCTATATCTCTGCAAATACAAATACTGTGATTTTTTTTCATCCACTTTGCACCTCTGTAGATAACATCTCAAGATAGTAGAACAACTAGGAGTCTGGTGGCTGTTTTGGTGTTTTTGCTGAAACAAACTAACATGACTATCTCTCTCTGAAACAAGATGTTAGGCAGCGAATAATTAAACCCTCTCCATAAGGATGAGGGAATCTTTTTGGGGGTTTTTTCAGTTACAGACTAACATGGCTACCCCTATGAAGCATAGTTTCTATGTCAGGTGGGCAAATTTTTTGGCCTGAGGGCCGCATCAGGTTTCAGAAATTGTATGGAGGGTTGGATAGGGAAGGCTGGAGAGGCTATGCCTTTGGAAACAGCCAAGTGTGTCCTGCTCCCTGCCTCTATCCAAAACCCTCGTTCCCCCTCTCCCTACCTCCTGACTGCCCCCTAGAACTCCCTGCTCTTATCCAACCTCCCCACCCTCCACTGCCCCCCAGAAATCCTCCTGCTCCTCCATGACCTGGGCACCAGGGTTGGCAGTACTACAGCCATGCCACCTGGACGGAATAACAGCCATGCTGTGTGGAGCACCAGGGCAGGTGGTACTGCAGCTGTGCTGCCTGGCCAGAGCTCACAGCTGTTCCATCCAGAGCACCGGGCCTGGCAGTGCAGCGAGCATACCTACCAGGCACTGGGGGAGGCTAGCCCAGAAGGGTCTGGCAGGCCAGATGTAGCCCACAAGCCATAGTTCCTCCCTCCCCCTCCTTCTAAGGGGTTATCCCTACAAAGCTGTCATTGACAATCAGTGGATGTTTGATGAAGAATAAGCCATGGAGAGCTGCCCTACAGCTTTAATCAGGATGATAAAATGATCAGGGCCAAATCCTGTATTCCTGGCTAACCTCCCTTCTCTCTGAGCATTTTGCATAAATAAAGACTTGCGGGATGGTACTTTGAGAAATACATAGGTGAATGGATGAATATATTCAGTAATGTCAAAAGAGATTCACTGAAATACATGTATAGAGTCTGACTCTCCTGGCTCATGTAAAACTAATGTTAATAGAATTCCAAGTTTTCAGGGGAAAAACCTCAAGTTATAAGTGGAATATGTACAGTGGAATTTTCTTCCAACTAGATAACACTGGTTAAAATTAGGACAATTCCATCAGTTTGGCTAGTTTCTTAAATGTATTCCTTTTTCTTATTTTTAGATGATAGAAACAGATAAATCTAAAGATCCTGCTAATGTGGAAGTGACCAAAGAGAACTGCCAAAGTCCGTTGCTGGGAGGTGGTATATTGAAATACAGAAGCCGATCCCAAGGTAAAGTGGGCTTGGTAAAAGACATGAATAAAAGAGCTTATGCCACTGCAGAGTTCTTGTATGTCATCCAGAGTGAGCTAGGTTTTATTTCCATTGGATCTCAGGATAGTTTGGTTTGGATGGGGAATTTGAACTGCACAATGTTCACAATCAGCTTGCTGAGTTGAACCTTCCTGTTGGAAGAATAATGAAGCAAAACTGCATTTTTAAGCTTTATTTACCATTCCTTAAATTGAAATTTCCTGAGTATTTTGTTTCATTTAGATCATTAGACACAGATGTGGTCCTTTTCTAATTGCCATCACTTTATCCCATTAATTAGGGCAAAATACTCATTGCTTGCTTGTTACCTAAATCTCCAAGAAAAAGAGGTCGTGCCTTCCAGCAGACTGACAATAACCAACAACCCAAGAGGTTGGCCAAACCATGATCACATCAATTGAGTTGAATACTTATTTGTTTTTAAAAACTGTATATGTAGAACCAGATCCTGCCACCATGATTCAGGCTGAGCACCTTACCCTATGTGTTATGTCCTTGAAATTGGTAGGGTGACATTGTAAGAAACTACTTCGGCTCAGCAGGGTTGCAGAGTCATCCTGGAATGCACAGCAGCAAAAGGAAGGATCAGCAGTTGTTGGAGTAGTCTGGGATTCTGAACACCTAGGTTCAATTGTCTGCTCTGTCAGACTTCTGGGAAAGTCAGTGCCCAGGTCCCCCAAGTGTAAGATGGGGAGAATAGCACAGCCTTACTTCAGAGGGGTGTTGTAAGGATAAAAGATAGAAGTGCACGGATACAGCTGTTAGTAGGGTCAGTATGTGCCTATGGGCTTGTTAATGTTTTCCTGTTTAAAGAGGACTATGTAAATGAGGAACTTTTTAATGTCATGCCTGGAGAGTCCCCACAGGGTGTTACAGCACAGCGCTTTGGTGAGCATTGTTATTCATATTCCCATAGTCAGTAGGGCAGTGCAGACATAGCCTAAAGCAGCCATTCTTAACTGAGTGCTCCACAACTCCCAGGGGGGCACAAACAAATGTCGGGGTCTGCCAAGTAGGACCTGTATTAGACTCAGTAGGGCACAGGGCAAAAGCTAAAGGCGGAGTCCTGCTGTGGCAGGGCTGAATCCCAAGCAACTTAGCTTTGCAGTGCTCCCTGTGCTGTGAGGCCATGGGCAATTACCCTGATTGATACCCCTTAATGCTGACCCTGGCTTTTATGTACCCAGAAAGAACAGTTGTTGTGGCACAGTTGGGATGTGGAGGAAAAAGATTGAGAACCCTTACGGCTGCAGGTAGAGTACAGAACTGTACACCCAACCAGCACAGGTAGAAATAGCAGGGTGGAGGGTGAAGTACAACTAGGGTTGCCAGCCCTGCAGTCTCCAGGAATTGAATCTTAATCTTTCATTAAAGATAAAGTTGCATGATGAAACTGCCCAGAATACATCAACCAAAACTGGCTCAGACAGGTAGAGGAGAGCTGAGCGCCCTTCATGCCTTAACTCTCAGGCACATGCCCTACATGGTGGTCTACACATGCAAGTGATGTCTCCCATGTGCACACTGTTGTCTTTAGCCCAGTAAAGTCCTGCTGTCTCCCCCACTGTCTTTTTCGCTGCCATGGGTAGTATATGCTGCAATAACAAGTGTGGGCGCAACCTGCCTTTCACTGCATCATGTAGCTTTGCATACCTTACACCCTGCCCTAAGTGTGGACAAAGCCTTAGGTAGGTAGGATGAGTAGCTTTTTCCAGTCATGGTGGAGGCCCATGGATCATGAGTGTGAAAAAAATAGTATACCTTGTGGCTAACTACAGGATGTTCTTCAAAGCAAACGATTCAACATCTTAAACTCTGCAGTCACTTTTACTTTTGTTTTTTGATTAAGACCACTGGGACTGTTTCCAGAAGGAAGGCAAATCATATTTTTTGGCACCATGTTCCTTCTTCCATTCCTGAAAAATTATTTTCAGGATGACAAGACATTTCCAGAAATGAATCCAGCTACAGTGTCAGCTCTGCAAGCTGTAAAGATAATGTGTGAGCTCTGCACAGCAAGGAGTGTCCTCAGCAAAATTCTGGCTCCCTCTCAGAGCTACCTGCTCAGTTTTGATCTCATTTTGGTTACTATCGCTAATCACAGTACCTAAGATATTGGCATTGGCCATAGATTTTTTTTAAAGAAACTTTTGTCAGCATGAGATTGAGACATGGGAATGCTCCCGCATCTTTTTAATTGTATACGATGTCCTTTACTAATTGATGATGATTTATTTTAAGCCTTCCATAGGCCATTATTGAGCTACCCAACAGGATGCTATTTGGTAGTATTGTTAGATTTATGATTTGCTAAAGTCAACCCTTGCATGACTTGTCAGAATTAAAAGGTTCTGTCATCTGCGTAATAAATGGCTTTGCTGTGATGTCCCTTAGGGGCTGGATCCCGTTTAGAATCTGTGGGAGAAAACGATGAACTGACTGTGGAGAATGATGAATCAAATTATGAAATAGCAGTGAAATATTCCCGGGGTGGGAGAAAACATTCTCTTCCCCAGCAACTTGAATCCTCAGGAGCGAGGCAGGTGAGTGTCTTTAGTATTTACTCTGCTTAACAAGGATTTACAGCCAAATTCCCAACTCCTTACTGTGTCTAATGTTTTCCTCAAGCTGTGAGAAGTGATCATAGCAAACTGAGGCTGCATATGTGTACCAGGGAGAATTGGCCCCAGTTCTAGCACTTAGCACCTGTGCTAAAGAAGGACTCCTTCAGCTGTGAGGAAGCAGAAAGCTTTTACAGTTGCAGAGGGAGACATAGTACTGGGCCAGTGTAATGCGTGAATATACTGTAGTCACAGAGATCTAACCATTTAAACAAATAATACATTTGTTTCAGTTGATGTTGGTATAATTATTACTTCTATAGATCATGAATCTGCACCGTATCTCAAACAGAGAGGAGTCCTGTGGCACCTTAAAGACATGATTTGGGCATAAGCGTTCATGGGCAAAAATGCACTTCGCCAGATCAGATTCGTCGGATACATCTGACGTAGTGGGCTTTTGTCCGTGAAAGCTTATGCCCAAATAAATCTGTCAGCCTTTAAGGTGCCATCTGACTCCTTGTTTTTGCAGATACAGACTAAAATGGCTACCCCTTTGAAATGTGTCTCAGTATCTGAGTTTACAAAAAAAAAAAATTTTTTTGACTGACATTATAAAAGATGTTAAATAGATGTAATGTGTGAACTTATCATACTGAAGTCGGTGGCATTAGGGTAGGGTTTCCTCACCAGGTGTATATAGTAATATGCAGTAGCCATTTTAATTTTTGTCCAGTCTATGACTATGTCAGAATGTTTGCCTGAAGCTCATTAGTGCCTGTGTCATGCAAACAGTATGAAATAAATTGAATGTCTGTTGTTCACTAGGAATATCATATTGTGAAGAAATCTACACGCTCACTGAGTGCAGCTCAGGTGGAATCACCATGGAGACTGGCCCAGCCGTCCATTATTTCCAACATTGTCCTGATGAAAGGACAAGGCAAGGTGAGGATTTTCGCACAGTGTCACAAAGACCTGGGACACTGAGCACTCTTGACTTCCACGGAACCTCAGTGCCGGTGAAAATCAAGCTCTGAATGTTTGTGACAGTAAATCTATTGTGGGCTTGTTTAAGTTCACATGATGATCAGTTGTAATAAGCAGTTAAGAGCCAAATTTTGAAATCTGAATGCCCAAGTAGTTCCTGCAAAATATGAATGAAGCAGAAATTATACCTTCCTAGGGTGGTTGGCAGTATCTAGCATGGCCCGGATCCTGATTGAGATCTCTGGTCACTACTGAAAGACAAATATTAAATAGAAGATTTACCTGATGTTCCTTGGGTCATCAACTCAAATAAGTTTAGTTTTTCTGCATTTAAATCATTGCTCTGGAGTGTGGCTGGGGATAAGGAGTTCAGTATGCAGGCTGCCCTGTGGAGAGAGGGCAACCTCAGCCCTCTCTCTCTGCAGCAGCTTGGGGCCAGGTGAGAAGCAGACATAGCTGGGGGGGAGGAAGGGATGCATGTCCCCTGGTTGGGTGACAGACAGATGCACAAACAGACAAATTCTCTGAAATATATAGTAGATAGATGTCTCTTTCTCCACCCCTGCCACCTGCTGGCCCAATGTGGGTATAGCTGTACTGGTCCCCATCTCTGGCCCCTTACTGCTCCCCTGTGGTCATTCTACAGGAAACTATTCCTCCTACCAGACCCCTCCCTTTCCGTTTTATGTAAAACAATCCAATTCCAGGCACATCCTGGCACAATCAAACTCTTACCTTGCTTGAAGTTATGATAAGAAGAAGCTGCATAGCAAATTTGGTGACCCTAGCTCTTACCATTTAGGAGGAGTTCTTGAAGAAACAGAGACAGATAGATGCCATTTCTAAAATATATAGTAAGATAAATGAGTGCATAGGTACAGATATGCATGCAAGCATGCAAATCAGACATTCATTTACCTAAGTACCTATTTGCATTCACAATAGCCCATTTTGCACAAGAAAATCTGTCTCTTTTGTATATTGTATGTGTCTGGACTATTGTGGTTGGCGAGGTGATTTAGTCATTAACCACCCTTACTCTCAAAAGTGTAAAAGTTATAGAAAGTTAAGAATCAGAACCAAGACTAGAATCTAGTTGATTATTTCCCCAGGCATTTCACTGAGTCACAATGCCTCCCATGATGTGTGAGTTTAATATCATGTTCATTTGTACTCTAGGTACTAGTATATTTTACAGGGGCATCAGATGTGCTATAACTCTAAAATAATTTCATCCTATTTTTATGATACAAGTCTAACAAGCAGAATAGTATTTTTCATGACCAAGCTTTTCATGAAGTAATAATTCTGAGGGGGTTTGTTTGTCCCAATGGCAGTATTTCTCATTGATACTAATAGGACCAAACCATCTATTTTGCATCATAGACTGTACTTTCCACCGTCTATGGTAGATGAAAGAATGCCAACCAAGTAATAGAAGTTATGTGCATTTAGAAAGGGGAATATTTATGTACTTGTCTATAAATATGAAATTCTTCATTTACTCAAACAAACATTCACACATACACTCACGTTCTGCTAATGTTACAGAACTGATCTTATGTCATGTTTTTACATTTCTCTCTTTCTTGAGGAAATGCAATATCTGTGATGGCAGAATAAATTGTAGTTAATCCTCGATATGGGTCTCTTGGGCAGGAATTGCACAGTCCATCAATTTAAGAGGCTGCTGTTATAGTTGGAGTAGTAGAAATGAATCACATAAAACCATAGTACCATGATAACATAAAATAAACTTTTTCTGTATTTAGGATGACTAGAACCACTTTGAGGCTGTGAGACATTGTTGGAATGAGAGTAGGCCATGAGAGAAGAGTGGAGACTAAAATCACAGCATGATTCACCATCAGCTAATTAGATTTTCATGATTTCTTCCTCTTAGACTATCAAACAGCCCTTATGAGATAAGTGATAACACTATTAGGTGCCATCAATTTATCACTTCTTCCTGTGTTTGTAGGGCCTTGGATTTAGCATTGTGGGAGGCCAGGATTCTGCTCGTGGACGCATGGGGATTTTTGTGAAGACTATATTCCCAAATGGCGCAGCTGCTGCTGATGGAAGACTTAAAGAAGGTACTAGAAGCTAAAGCCTGTGCTCTTTGTAGGCGTAATTCATAAATTTGTGTGCTTAAAAAATATTTTAGAAAACCCCGAATGGCTGAGAACATAAAAATTGGAGAGTAGCAAACTGCGAATTTATTTGTGGTGGAGTGTAGGAGGTTGAGCTGGTAGAGTTGTGTGGATTTGGGTTAGTGGCAGTTGGGTACTTGGGTGTGGCAATTGAGCAAAGTAATCCATCATATGTGAATCTCCTTCATACAACCAATTAAATGCTTGTATTTAAATTAGCTGTAGAGTAATAATGATTGGTTGAGTTATCTATAATGTCATAGAGATCTAGGTCTCTTGATGTGGTATGTATGCATGCCATAGTGTAGGGCTGTGTCTACATTGGCACCCTTTTCTGGAAAAGGGATGCTAATGAGACCAGTCGGAATTGCAAATGCCGCAGGAGATTTAAATATCCCCCGCGGCATTTGCATGAACATGGCTGCCGCTTTTTTCTTGCTCGAGGCTTTGCCGGAGAAAAGCACCAGTCTAGACGGGATCTTGCGGAAAGTAGGAATAAGGGATCTTCCGGAAAAGGGAAAACCCCCAGCCAGAAAAAAGTGGCAGGCATTTTTAAAACCCCCCCGGCATTTAAATCCCCCGCGGCATTTGCAATTCCGACTGATCTCATTAGCATCCCTTTTCCGGAAAAGGGTGCCAATATAGAAACAGCCTAGCTGTACACCTCATGGGATAATTTGTAAAAATCAAAATGGCTGAAAACTAAAAAAAAAAACTTGAGACATAACTCAGATTGGAGATATTCTAACAAAAGTAGTTCACAGACTTGCTTTTAGCTACTTCCACCTCTTCACACCGATTTGGCAGACATTTCAGGCCTCAGAATGACACACAGAGTTGCATTCCTGGAATCTTACTCTGTAGATAGTGGGGAAAATCCAATTCTGTGTTAAAAGGCCACAGGAACAAATCAGTTTAACACAGCTGAAAAACTATAGCAGTTCACTTTATTTATGCAGCTGGAAACCAATGGCAGGGTATCAGGATGTGAATTCACCTTACCAATCTGGTCAGCAGAAAGTTGGTCTGAGCCCTCAGCCTTTGGGGGTTTGTTCTGTGCTTTACAAGAATAAAATAAGAGAAGAAATAATACAACAGGAAATGTTTCTCCTCCTGTTCTTGATTTCTTTGTTTCTTCTTTGCTTCTTTGCTTTTCTGCTTGTTTAGTTGAGAAAGTGTATTGGGAGTGCCAGCATGTCTGTCTAGCAAAATGATGCTGGATCAGACAGGGAGGGTACGGAAAAGAGTACTTCAGAGGCTCTGTCTTGGGATCTCATTTTTTAGTGTTTTGAAGCACCCACATTGTCCTAGAGCCCCCAGAATGGGCAGGGCTAGGAGACTTCTTGTGCTCCCCTGCATACAGACTATGATTGGTCTTTCCCCTGGCTCCTGCCACCTAGAGAGAATCACCAGCTGGTTCCTTCTGATGCTATGTGCCCCTGGAGGGGGGAGGAGACTTAGCATGTGCCACCTACCCCCAGGCCATTCAGGGTCTGGGGGCGGGAGATCGTGTGAAGCCTCTCACCCTTTACCCCTCTCCCTCCCCTGCCATGCAGTGGCTAGGGAGAACCACCAGCTGTTTTAAAACAGCCAACAATTCCCTCTGATGCCGCATGTCCCTGGCGGGGAAGGAAGATTCACGTGTTCTCACCCGTCCCCAGGTTTCAACTGGCCTAGAGGTGGGGGAGTGGCAGGGCAGCTATGGCCTGGACCCACCAGCTTGGCAGGCCAGATCTGGCCCGTGGAGGCTCCTTTGCCACCCCTGCGTAAGGACCTTCATGCAAC